CTGTTCCTGAGATGGTTCTGAAATTCAGGTGGGATAGACTCAAAGTCATATTTTGGTTGCCTTGGATTTGGTTTAATTTTCCTCTTGTAAATAGACTTCACAAATCCTATTTGCATTTTCCTTCCCATCTATGTGTCAAAGTCAATGTCTAGGAAAACCATTTCGAACAATAAACCCTTGACACTACACTTATTGTCTGAATCCTTCTACTCAAATATATAAACTATATATGAGCAGGATTTTGTCTTTCTTGCTCATGGCTATTAGTTCTTGTGAAAGGAGCAAGGACAATATGAAGACAGCCGAGTCTGACCTCTACTGACTCCACAGGGGGTACCGCTCCAATCATCTGCATCCATAACATAAAACCAATTCCCAAGAGGTCAGACTTGTACCTCAAACTCCTGCACCTACTTCTAGTTCCAACACCAATCTTATTGCTCACAGAACCATACTCAAAGTGATGGGGTTTATTAGGAAGATGAACGGCTATATATGAGGTTGGCAGCAGGATACAATCACTCAGGCCAGACAACCCTTCAAGGATGGTTGCAGGCCCTTTGACCCTCAGCCTTACAGCTTAGATCAGTGTCACAACGTTATCATGGTTCTGCCAGTTATGATGGGGATTTTTCCCCCCATGTCCCTTCCTTCAGGACTGCAGCAAGACCTCTACCTCAGTTTGATCTTTGTCCTCTGCTGAGGCTTCTTCTGCTGCTGCTCTTTTACACCCCAGTTCAAGTGGTGCAGGAATCTCTGGCCCCAAAGGGTTGGCACTGTTGCTTCTTCCTTGTTGCTACTGAGGTTCCCAACTTCTGCTGCTGAATTCACTCAGTTTAATGGTGAAACTTGCCAATCTCCTTGTGAAGAGAATAACACACCTAATTGTATGTCCCTAACTATCTATGCGGCAGATTCAAAGCAAACAATGGATAGGAAACCCATTTTGAACAACAAACTCTTCACACCATAGTTTCATTATGAAAATGTTGTTGTATGATATTGCATCCATTCTAACCCTAGGGATGCTATATGATAAAGTAGAACTGTATGGAGCTGCTTATCCGGTGTTTTCTCTCATGCAGCTGTCTGGGGAATATGAACCACTGACCCGCTGTTTAGCAGCAGAGTGATTAACTGTTGCACCAGCAGGCTGCTTTAGCGAGAAAGCTGTGGATGTTGTTAGATACTGTCAGGTTGGCTCCATCTTATAACCTTGTATTATTCCTCAATGCAAAATAATGTTCCCCAAATCTTTAAGGAAGCCTCATCTTTCTCCCTCAGAGCTGGTGGCTTCTAGCCTCCCGTCTTCCAGTTAGTAGCTGAGCTCTTAACCACTGCACCACCAGAGGCTGGCTCCTCACCTACTGGTATAAAGGGTCATTTGTGGCCAACACATATTTTCCAAGTACTCAATTCAATCTATAACAAATGTGTTGCTGAAACTATTGGAAGACAGAGTTAAGTTTTTTGTTTTGTCCAGAAAATAAGGACCAAAATTGCTGCTGATTATTCTCCTTTTTCCTAAGGTATTATTGAGGTTTTCCTCATATCTTGCCTGGTTGGAGGAGGCCTTCTCATTTTCATCATCCTAATGGTGATATACGGTCTGAAAAAACCCAAGTGAGTATTGTCTTCGAAATCAGAGGTGGTAAGAGTGAAAATCATCATGGCTGGGAGAGGACATCAATTATTAAGGTAGCATTCATTCATCTACTCCTTTGCTACCTGCACTGAGTTAGTTCTGACTCAGAGACCCTCCATCAGGTTTCCAAGGCTGTGTCTTGACAAGAAGGTATTTGCCATCTCTCTCTCATAGAGTAACTGGTGGGTTCCACTGCTGGCTTTTCATTTAGCAGCCAAAGAGTTGTACCCTACACTTTAGGGATCCTTATTCATCTGCTAGTAAACACTTACTGAGATTATTATATGCTACACACTGGTGGTGCTTAGAATTCTGACCAAAAAAAGAGAGCCCACCTCCCACAGCCAGAAATGTCAAACCTAGGCTGTTTTGAGGCCAGGATAGTATCAGCTGCCCCACAGGACTTACCTAATGTGTTTGCTGTCTGAGATAAGAGAGAGAAGGTCCTTTTTCTCTGTTTCCAACAGGTTCTTGGCAACAGCAGGAAGTCTGAGGGCCACTACCCTCTCTCTTTGGCAGAGCAACGAGCTGTGCTAAGAAATACTGACTAGTTGTATGTCTAGTAGTCCTGTTTCTGGCTCATGACGCCATCTTGTGGGGCCAGCTGCATGGCCATTGTTCTGCCTGCGCTGACCACTGTGGAGAAGGAAGCTTGTCTTCAAAGTTCTGCTTTCTTCCTTTCCATGAACCTAATGTCAACGACCATCTGGGTAGAGCTCTCTCTCCAGCATTGGATTCTTTGGGGCTTTTCTGCTGAGCAGCTGCTCCTAGTTAATGACCACGCTAATACCAGCGTTAGTCTTAATTAACATTACCCCAGGTCCCATCTGTAAGCTATCACCAGACCAGCAGAATGCATTCCTGTGCATCACTCACTTAATCAGTCACTCGCTGCCTTTAGCATGTGTCAGAATCCCACCCCACCCAATGGACTCTAATTCCCTAGTTCTCTGGTGGAAAACAAGAACGTCCTTTCCTAACAAGCTCCCAGGTGATAGGGATACATTGAGAACCACGGCATTGAAATCTAGTAGTTTATGAGGCTTAGCATCTTAATCTTCCCAGGAACAAAATACCAAAGGCAGGACTGATGGTGCGATTTTGGACAGATGAGGGTAGGAAAAGCTTTTCTATTTCTTTCACTTCCTTTGCAGCCTTCCAATGTCACCACCTGAAAGCTGCACCTCACTCTCAGAGCAGCCCCAGGGTTTCCCCTTATTTAATGATAGGACCTCACAACGCTTTTTGGCAAAGCCTCATCTTTGGGCTCACTCATAGCAAGTGTGTAAAAAAGCTTCCGGGACTGATTTTTCATTTTCAAATCTTATCTCTTATTAGCAAATTGAAACACCATTGTTGGCCTGTTATCCCCAACCCTGCTGAAAGCAGTATAGCTATGTGGCGTGGTGATGGTTCCAAGGTAAGCCATTCTTGTGAAAGAAATTGTTTGGGTGAGCTGGTTACAGGAGATGGACAAGCCTTGTGGAAGTCAGGTTGAGGAGTCCCAGGGAATAACTGGCAGGCCAAGTGGAGTCAGTCTTCCAACAACTAGTTTAACCGCATGCTTTGGACAAGAGGAAGAGAGCCCCCCCAAACTCACGAAGACCTGTGTGAGGGAGGCTCGGTCACAGATACGCACCCTCAGACGAGACAATTTAATTACACAGAGAAAGCTCTACCACAGGCTTTAAAACTAAAAGCTAAGCCCGCCACACTAGCTGTCGTCTCGTCAACTCCAACACATGGGGACTGCGTGCTGCTTGCTCCGAGCAAAACTATGCTTATGATGCTTTCAATGGTTGTGTCCTTGTGGAAGATCTCCAGCTCTTTCTTCCAAAGTGCCTCTCGATGGATCAAAACTATCAGCCTTAGGATGAACATAGGGTTTGAGGCCATTTGTAAAGCAGCCAAGAGTAACTCCATCTCTGGGCCTTCTAGAGAGTCTGAGGGGACACTGATGTGCACACCTGGTTACAAGTTGGAGCAGAACACCTTTGTTTCTCAGATTGAGGAAGGAATTGTTACTGTGTTTAACTGACAGTGATGTTTTCCAGTAAATCACACTTAAATCAAAGTTTTCCTTGTTCATAATTTTTTAAATTGCAAACTCTTCTAATTAGAGATTAGACTCCTTGCTGCTTGTTGTTGTTGTGTACCATAGAGTCAGAACTGACCCATAGCTGACCCTTTGGCAGGTTGTCAGAGGCAGATAATCACACAGGAGGAAATTGCCCATCCACCTCCCATTGAGCAGCTGGTGGCCTTGAACCATGTGCCTTTGGTATTACAGCACAACTTACCAGGAAGTCACCAGAGCTCCCTAGACTCCTTGCTTATATAGTGTTTAATAAGCCAAATCAAATATGCTTTAAAATCCTAATCATTAAAAGACTATTCCCAGCTTTCCTTTATAAAGGAATTTTTAACATTAGCCCCTTTTCATCTCACAATTTTTAAATTCGGAAATCTTTGTCACAGTGGACATTATTTGCATTTTCGCCTCTCCTTTACCCAGTTCATGTGTTTCTATTTATTTTCTTTGTAAAAGTTATTGTTGCTGTTGTTATGTACCCTTGAGTCAGACCTGATTTGTAGCTGACCCTGCAGCAGGTTTTCAGCAGCAGCAAAAGTATGGGCCATCTTTCTCCCACGGAGCAGCTGGTGAACTCAAACGTCATGTCTTTATCTTGGCAGCTCAACTCCTTACCACTAAGCTACCAGAGCCCCCGAAGGTTATTAAGGGAGTGGATGACTAAAATGCACTTTTAAAGAATATGTAGGTGTGGTCTTTATAGCAAGCATGTGTTAATCACCAACTATGCCCCAGGTGCTGAACCAAGCTCTGTAGACAAAGACATGACATGGCATTGATTTTCTAGAAAATGATGAGAAATCATAGATCTGGCTTACTCTATCTCTGCTACTGAGTCAGAACTGACTCATTGATGACACTCAAGCAAGCTTTGTGAGGCCACAAAAGGCACATGAGGATATTGTGCCTCTTTAGAAACACTGGTGGATTCATCCACCACAGAGGGGCCACCGGACAGTTAGCAGCTCAACGCCATACGGACTAGGCCACCAACACTCCCTACGTGTGGTTTTCCATCTCTGCGGATTCTCATTTTGATGCTCTCAATTTAACCGGGATTTTTATGAACCTATGGATTGTGTGGAAAATGGTTTTAAAAATGTTTGGTATTTCTCATGACAGGAGTCCAGAATGAAGGCTGCATAGTGGCGTGGACTTGGGGGAAGGGATTGTATAACAATGAAATGATTTTTCTTTCACTTTTCAATGAGAAGAACGAACTGGAGGGGAGGGGTGGGCAGGGAGAAAAGTGCAACAATGAGTGAATGGAAACCCTAAGTCTCTGTAAACTTTCATTAAAATTAATAAAATTAAAAAAAGAGAGAAGGGAAAAATGCAGACAGGAAGATAGAGAAAGAAGATTCAGTCATGAAATTTGGAAGGATTTCCCCCCCTTTTTTGCATTAGAAGAGATAAAAAGTGAGAAGATAAAAAGGATGAAATAAACAGGCCGATTTACTTGACTAAAAAATGTTTGCTTATTTCTTTGTGTGTGTGTGTTTTAATTAATTTTAATGAAAGTTTACAGAGACTTAGGGTTTCCAGTCATTAATTGTTGCACTTTTTTCCTTGCCCACCTCCCCCCCAATTAACTTTTCTCCTTGATGAGTAAAAGAAAAACTTTCATTGCGATGCAATCCCTCCCCCCCGCCCCAAGCCCACTGCACTGTGCAACCTTCATTCTGGACTTCTGGCATGACAATAATCATATATCCTTTTTAAACAGTTCTTGCCCTCATCTGTTGCAATGCAGTTATAAAAATAGGCCACACTTGTCAAGCTTCTATGGAAAGGCATACGAGTGTCTATGACTTCTAGTATCTGAAGGGCTGTAGTGGGGCTATTCAGCAGAGAGGGGTATTTAGTGTCCAAAGTCTAATAACTTTATATGTAACCTCTAAATGACTACTCAACATGTTCTTTTATCTTTTTCCAGAATAAGCTAGCCTTGAAGGAGGCCCAGCTTGATAGTGTCACGAACACAGATGTAGACAAGATTCTAAAACTGCAGTATGAACTCAGTGATGAGTTGATGGTGAACTCAGAGCGCCTTCTGGTGGATGTTTGCATAGAAGAATCTCTGAAGCATCAGAAGAACATTGAAGGGGAAAAGAATGAGTATGTGACCTCGCCCTACATGTTGTCTTCTTCTCCGAGAAAGAGCTTGCTGGAGGTGCCGACGTCAGCTGAGATCCCACCCAGAAAAGCTGAGAGTCTGAGTGAGGGAACTCCACCAGCGACCTGCTCTGACACCAAAGAGCAACTTCTCGCCTCTGGCCAAAGTCTGACCCCAGCTCATCTCTGTGAGGAGACAGCACCCAATCCGTATTTGAAAAATTCAGTGACAACGAGAGAATTTCTTACTTCTGGGAAACTTGCAGACCAAACTGAGAGAGAAGACTAGAAGCTTGGATGACTTGAGTCTCCGTTCACATCAGGGCAATGACTCTTGATGATACTTTGCCAGCAGCCCTTTTCCAGTCCCCCACCTCCCCAATTCTGCCTGTAAAGGGCCTGTTCCAGACCTGCCAGCTGAGCTAGGGTGCACAGATCTGTCCCTTTGTGCTGGAGAGAACATCTGTAGAGGAAACCAGTTCCTTTTTTATTCAGAAAGAAGCTATCTTTGAGGCCTCCTAGAGGTCAGTGTGGAAGGAAGGTCAGGCCCAGGCTTGGTGGGCTTGGCTGGCCTTCCCTAGGAACTGGGTGCTGGTCACAGCCTTTCCTGGAGCAAGTCCTCAGGGTTCAAGGGGAACAAGAAAATGTAACTTTTCCCACTGTTACTAGATAGTTAGGGAGCTCCAGTGGCCTGGTGGTAAAAACCTGTGATGCAATCCCAAAGGCAGGCGGTTCAAATCCACCAGTACTTCAGGGGAGAGGTATGGGCAATCTTCTTTCTGTGTGATTTGCTGCCTCTGAAAACCCACTGGGAGAGTCAGCTATGGGTCAGTTCTGACTCGACGTCATACAACAATGGCTAGTTGTTTAGTGGGCTCTTGGCTAGCCGGTGGGAGGAACAGTCTCTCCCTTGACCTCTCCTGGCCTCTGGCCTTCCCTTCAGATGCAGCTCTGGAGTGTCACTCTCAGTGCACAGGCTGGGAAGGGGGCAGGGCCTTCCAGATGGTGCCCTGAGGTGTCTCATGCATGATGTTGCTAATTGCCATCAACTAGAATCTGGCTCATGGTAAACCTATCATAGGTTTCCAAATCATGTAGGCCACCATTTGGAGATGTCTCTGAGTGGCTTCGAACTTCCAAACTTTCAGCTAGTAATTGACTTGAAGAAAGGACTCCTTCATTAGTGTAAGCCTTCATTAAATCTCAGTAACTGCAGTAACCTCTCTCCACCCTCACAGGTCTCCTCACCCCTAGTTTACAATAAAGATAACAACTGAGGAATCAAGGAATGAGGGTGGCCCAACTCTGCCCCTCCACCCAGGCCATTCCCCCAGCCGTGGAAACAGTGTCAGGGCCCCTTATTGCCCTCGTGTCTTGCGCTGATCAAGCCTGGGAGCAGAAAGGCAGCAAATATAGCAGAGCCTTTTGTTAGGGGACTCTGGCCTCTCCCCTTAGTCAGAGCCCAGGAGTTTTTGTGTACTTACTGCATAAACCCTCTGCAGCCCTCTTCCCAGCAGCAGCCCAGCAGGGCCTGGGAACCATGGCTAGCAACTTCCTGCTGCCCCAGGATGACTCCTCATCCTCCACACAGCTTAGCACAGAGTGTGGGGTGATTTGTTGGGCCTTTAGCTCAAGTGCTGCTAACAGGTTTCATCTGAGTAGACCTGGGGAACTGTGTGCCTGGAAGCAGTTTGCCTGCTGAGCATGAGCTTGCCAGAGGACTTGCTGGTGTGTAACAGCATCCCTGCATGGCCACTGGGAGTCCGCGAGATCAGGGCAAGGAAGGAAATGAGTGACGAGCATTTGTCAGCCAGGAATCCCAAATGACTCACAAGAGTTTCTCCCTCACCTACTTCTCCAATAATTTCAGGTTTCTTCTGTTGGGGAATTTGCAAATGTCACACTCCTGGATCTTGTAAAAGTCTCATCTTGTCTCTTGCCCCTATTCTCTCTTGTACCCTTTTTTCCTCCACCACTCCTTTCTCACCTTCCAGGTTCTTGCCCTTTTAATGTCTCTCTTTTTCTTGTTTCTTTCATTTTATCCTTCCCTTGTACCTCTCTTCCTTACCTTCTCTATTCCCTGTCTTTGAGGGGTGAGATAATGGTTGGTTTTGATCAACATAAGCCCTATGTTGAATTCCTTGAAGTAAGGTTTTCCTGCCTGAATGTGCTGTTTCCTGGGATTCACTCCCAGAGCAGATTTGCAGCTCACAGGCCTGAAGGCTCAGAAGCTGCTGGTGACCTTCTGCTGAGTCCGTGGTGCCTTGAGCTCTGCTGTGCTTCCTCTGTGTTTACTGGCAGAGACTGTGTAAGGACAGAAACAGGTCATACAAACTGATAACATTCCCAGTAAAAGAAGCATCTTCTGGAATGCTGGTAACAAAGCAAATAGCTTGCTTGGTGGTCTATTGTTTATCGGCTTTTCTTTGATAATGAAAAGCAGCTGCTGTCAAGCCGTGGTCAAATTATGGTATTTCCACTTCACAGCAGAACTGTGCAGGGGCTGATTTTTTAGTAGGTAACCAGACCTTTCTATCTGAGGTCCCTCTGGATGGATCAAATTGCCAATCTTTTTGTAGGTAGCTGAGTGTGTTAAGCATTTGTACCATCCAGGGATGCCTTTTTTACAATAAGACAAAGAAATTTTGATAGAATGATAGAGAAGTCAATCTGTTGCTGTTGCTTTATACTGGGTTTGTTATAAGGCAGCAGTGTGGAAACATTGTGCTGCCATTCAGGAATTGGTAAGTGATGAGGACGGGGGACAGAGGAGAGCTTGTCCAGCAGGAAACCCCCAGCCGCTTCTTTCTGTGTGAGCGGACACCCTGTGATCTGTGTGGTCCGCCCCTGATTCCCTCTTGCCACAAGCCTCCAGCTGTTGCTGAGTCTGCTGTTGCAGGCATGTTCTTCAGAGCCACTCAAAAAGTAGAGCTGTTAGGTCACAGTTCAATGCTTATTGTCACATGTTGCTCTGTTGCACCCTAAAAAGCCTCAGCTGGCTTGCCATATCACCAGAAATGTCTGAAGGGTCCTCTGTCGACCCCACTGATGATCAGCCATCTACTGCACCTACCTTGACTTGCTCAGCTTGTGTGATGTATTTACTAACACGTCCTCACGCTTATGGTGCTTTGATTATTGTGAAGCTGAACTATTCCCATATATTTCACTCTCTAATTCTCCTTGTGTTTCGGTCTTATTCAAGGATTGTGAGTCTGTATTCTCCTTTTGTGCAGGCAAGGATGCTGATTTAACAAGCAACCCAGATAGTAGAAATGAAAACGCACTCCAAAATCTTCTCCATGGAACCCTGGACCCGTGTCCTTGGGAAAACCAGGCTGTAGCCTCTCACATCCTTGCAGGAGCCTTTCAGCCAAGCTGCCCTGAATCTTTTCCACTGTTTTTAGGGGAACAGGTTCCAGCATAAGAATGGCTGTCCACCACGATTATTTTTTTTTTGTTATTATGTCCACCACTCCTAAGCACTTTGCCTGTAATATGTCAACGCTGAGTTTAACATTTCTATCCTTTTTAGTACGTTCTCAATAATAAGGTTTAGAGTCCTTTTACTTTGTCATCTCACTCACTCTGCTATTTTTTTTTATGTTTCTGTGTTATTATGCCTTCACTATTCAGATAATTGTACCTTTTTAGAACATCAAACCCCAACCAGTGTGCATTAATCTGGCGTCTCCTGTGTGCTCAGTTTCTCTCCTGTCTGTCCTCCAATGTCTGCTTCTTTGTTTCTTTCCTGTATGTGACTGGGGTTCTGCTTTCCCCATCCTCTCTACTGACCACCCCTTTGAGTTTTGGATCCTTCACGCTGGTGCTTGCCCTCTTCTGGTGAAGGCAGTAAAGACACTTGTTTCTGAGTTGAACATGAAGGAGAGAAACCAGGAGATCTTACAGAATCTTCCATCTCCAAGCTCCTGGCCCCCTTGTTAGAGTAAGAGACATTTAGCAGGACTTTAAGGACCCCCCCAGGTGGTGCCTGGGTCAAGCACTCAGCAGTTGGAGCCCACCCTCAACCAGGGGAGTGGCACAATGACTGCAGCAATGGGCTCAAGTATGTCAGAGATTGTGAAGATGACACAGGCTAGCACAGGGTTCAGATCTGCTGTTCCTGGGATCTCTATGAGTCATAGTTGATGGCACTTAACAAGAAGTCATGCTCTGGGAGGGAGATATGGAACTGATTATCTGTAAAAGACAGAGCTCAGGTGATGTAGTCAGTAGGGAGTCGAACTGCTAACATGTAGGCAGCCCCTCACCTCTCTGGTGTTTCGAAGCTACCGACTTGTTCCTTAGGCTGGGTGGATTTACAACCTCCGTGTGAAAACCCACCAGAGGCTCAGCTATGAGTCAGCACCAACTCCATGGCAATTAATTTTGCAATGAGAGGTGTTCATGCTTTTTTTTTTTCTTTTTTCTGCCAAAGATTACAGTCCTGGAAACCCTGGGGGCAGTTCTACTCTGTACTAGCACTGTTGGTGTTGTGTGCTGTTGAGTTGGAACCAATTGGTAACTGATCCTCCAATGGGTTTTCAGAGGCAGTAAGTCACATGGGAAGAGATTGTCCATCTTTCTCCAGCAAACAGCTGTTGGATTCGAACCACGTATCTTTGGGATTGCAGCTCAGCTTCTTATCAATAAGGCCACCAGAGCTCTCTGAGCAATAGAATTGACCTGAATTGAGTTGGACTCAAATCCATGGCAACAGATTTTTGGTGTTTCCTGCCCCCCGTCTTTTTAAAAGCAGGGTTTGGGAACAATCAGGGATCTCCAGTGATCTAGTGAGTAAAGAGCTGCACTCACAACTCCAAGACAGGTGGTTTGAATCCACCCAGTGAATTTGCATTTGGGAATTTTATGGGGGTATTTTTTCATTAGAATGCTCAATGAATTTTGTATCTGGGTAATTGTTTAAAATATTTCATTTTTGTAGTGTGTTTTTTATAAAAAAGTTTTTACTTTGATATATTTTGTCAAGTGTTTTTACATACCTGTTAATTACTGATAAGCTGAGGGTGGCATAGATGGCTAACCCATTTAGCTGCTAGGTTGGAGGTTCAAGTCCACAGAAAGGAGCCTCAGAGGAAAGGCTTAATGATCTACTTCCAAAACCTCAACCAATGAAAACCTGTGGAACAAGACTCCACCCTCCCACATGTAGGGTGTCAGGACTGCACCTGGTAACAAGTTACTGATAAGGCTTGTTTGAGTCAAAGTGTGTGGTGGTTTTGGTGTTCTATCTTATTTGAGAGAGTTCAGAAGGATAAAGTGTGTCCC